AGGAGGAAGTAGAGTTCTAGTCTGCTATGCAGCTGAATGAGTTGATGTTGGATGAAGCTCTGGTGTTTTCATTGATGGGGTCTCTATCTATTAATAATCAGGGTGCGATCGATGAGTTACAAGTAGCATATGATTTTCCTAAAGTTATCCCAGATGATATTCCTGACGTGCCTTCAGAAAGAGAAGTGGAGTTCGCTATTGATCTTGAAAAGAAATTTGTAAGACCAAGCGCATCGCCTTGGGGAGCTCCAGTGTTACTAGTGAAGAGATGATTTGATTGATCAATTGGTAGGTGCTCGTGTGTTTAGCCAAATTGACTTGAGATTAAGTTATCACCAAATTTGAGTCAAGAACGACGGTATACAGAAGACAACTTTCAGAACTCGGTATGGATATTATGTGTATTCAGCGATGCCTTTCGGTGTTACTAACGTGCCAATAGTGTTTATGGATTATATGAATCGTATATTTTGCACTTACTTGGATCGATTCGTATTAGTTTTCATTGACTATATTTTGATATATTTTAAATCAGTAGAAGAACATGTCGAGCATTTGTGAATTGTACTGAAAGTGTTGAAAGAGAGGAAGTGTATGCAAAATTGTCAAAATGTGAATTCTGGTTAAAAGAGGTCAATTTTGTTGGTCATGTTATTTTAGGTGATGTATTATTGTAGATCCATCCAAGGTAGATGCACTATTACAGTGGGAAGCCGTGAAGTCGGTTACGGAGATCATAAGCTTTTTGGGTTTGATTCGTTATTATAGAAGATTTATTGAAGGCTTTTCTAAGTTAGCACTTCTGCTAACTCAGCTGACTTGTAAAGGCATAGCGTTTGTGTGGGATATCCAATGTGAAGAAAGTTGTGTTGAGTTGAAGAAGAAATTGACGACGCTCTGATTTTGATATTACCAAATCCTGAAGAATTGTTTGTTGTGTATTATTCTGCTTCTAAAGTGGGTTTAGGTTGTGTGCTTATGCATAATGATAAAGTAGTAGCTTATGCATCGATACAATTGAGGATTCTTGAAAGGAATTATCCTACTCACGATATTGAATTAGATATAGTGGTGTATGTACTAATGATTTGGAGGCATTACCTTTATGGTTCCAGATTTGATGTGTTTAGTGATCACAAGAGCTTAAAGTATTTGTTTGATCAAAAGGAATTAAATATGAGGCCAAGGAGGTGGTTAGAATTATTGAAGGACTATGAATTTGTCTTGAATTACCACTCTAGTAAAGCTAATGTTGTGGCAGACGCCTTAAGTAGGAAATCGTTACATATGTCTACTATGATGGTTAGAGAATTAGAATTGATCGAATAATTCAAAGACATGAGTTTAGTATGTGAAGTGATGCCACAAAGTGTGATGTTAGAAATGTTACATATTAACAATGATTTCTTGGATAATATAAAAGAGGCTCAACAAGTCTAAGGATAGCGATTTTATAGTAGATGTCCAAGTGTGTTGAGATTCCGAGATAGAATTTGTATTCCTAATGAGGTGGAGATCAAAAGGATGATTCTGAAAGAAAGTCATAGGTGTAGTTTGAGTATTCATATATGAGCTACTAAGATAAATCATGACTTGAGGAAGTTCTTTTGGTGGTTCGGATTGAAACATGATGTAGCGCGGTTCGTTTATGCTTGTTTGATTTTTCAGAAGTCGAAAGCAATCATCAAAAACCTGCAGGATTGTTGAAACCATTAGAGGTTCCAAAATTGAAGTGGGATAAGATATAAATGGACTTTGTGATGGGGCAACCAAGTACTCCAAGAGGGCATGATACGATTTGGGTGATTGTCGATAGGCTAACAAATTCACTACGCCAAAAATTAAAAATAACAGCGCACCATAGAAAACGCTCATTTAAGGAAGTGCTCCTATAAGTTAAAAACTTAAAACTATAAACTAAATTAATAAAAAGTGCTGCTAAAGGGCATAGAAAAGAAAGCGCTTTCTTGAAATCGCTGTGTAGGGCATAGATACGAAAGTGCTTTCTGAAAGCGCTGCTATAGGGCACAAATAAGAAAGTGCTTTCTAAAAGCGCTGCAAAAATAAAAAATAACAGCCCACCATAGACAACGCTCATTTCAGGAAGCGCTGCTATAAGTTAAAAAATTAAAACTTTAAACTAAATTAATAAAAAGCGCTGCTAAAAGGCATAGAAAATAAAGCGCTTTCTTGAAAGCTTTGCTATAGGGCATAAATACGAAAGCACATTTTGAAAGTGTTGTTATAGGGCATATATTAGAAAGCGCTTTTGTCATTAAAAACGCTGGTAATACCTATAATTTAGGCAGCGCTTTCTAAAAGTGCTGCCTTTTCAAAATTCTAAAATTAAAACTCTTGAACCCTAAAATGACAAAACACGATTATGTTTGCTGTAATCACCTTCCAAATCCATGCGTCCAACTTCATCGTGAATCACCATCATCCGTCACGATTCACACTCTCTGCCATCTGTTTAACCATCTTTCTCCAACAGTCTTTGATTCCGTCAAATTTCCGCTCACACTCCCATTAGCATACCCCTTAGTTCTCGTTCACGCTCCTTCCGGCTGAAGCCAGGAAATTGATACTCTCGTCTTTGTTTCAAGCTTCTGCTTCCACAATCTTCTCTGCCATTGTTGGTAAGTGGTAATTTCATTCTTAGTTGTGTTAAACTGTTATGTTATGGAAATGATGCTTCTGTCAATTTCGATCTTATTATTATGTTATGAACTGTTATTTTGAAAAATCGCATGTTGAATCCTGCTCAATTTGATGTACTAGTTTAAATCTGTGAAAAATATATGTTGATAGTATATGTTGTGTTGGTGTCGAGATATGATGCATTTCGTATCAATATCATGCTCGTGTTAAAAATGAATACCGCGTTGGTTGCATTGATATGTTTATTATGAGAATCATGTTAGTATTAAATATGAACACGACACTTATCTTAGTTCTGAGTCGGTTTAGAAAGTTGGTCGAAACATAAGACGTGGCTATGTTATTTGCATTCAAATCTGTGTGATCAGGAAGTTCGAGTTTGTATGTGTTGATAATATTTTATGATTACCTTTGTGTTGCTTAATTGTTAATTGGCATTGAATTCATTTGAAATCAGCATTGTATTCATGTTTAGTTTGTGAAATCAACATTGTGTTCATTGAATTCGTTTATAATCTTTTGAGATGCATTGCTATTTTGGGCTGTTCTGTTTGAGAATAGTTTAGGTGTGAATGAAGCATTGCATTTTCATATTATAAATCAATATTTCAAATAATCACGGAGTTTGACGAAATTGAGGTACCTTTGTGATATTCTCATTTGGGCTTCATTTTGTATCCAGGTTACACATTTTGGAGACAAAATTATACTTGAAGACCTTCGATTTTGAATTAAGTTAGTTGGAAAAGTCAAAATTCTTGTTTTACACTAAGGTTATAGAACCTTCTATGTTTTATATTCCATTAGAATGTGGTCATATGCTCCTATGATTTTCTATGAATATGCCTAATTGGTATTAAGCTTGTTAGTCTGTGTCCTTTTATTAAGTATTGTTTTTGTTTAGCTTACTTAATAGTAAGACAATGGATAAAAAATGAATGTATACCAATCGATTGTCCAAAGAGTAAGACAATGGGGTATTGAAATTCGTTAAGTTTGTTGTTGAACACGCTGAAGACCCAAATCGAATGAAATGTCCTTGCTTAAGTTGTTGTTTTGTGGGTCGGGTTGACACAGTTGGGTTGCAATCACATTTATTGAGGCGTGGAATTGATCGAAGTTACACATGTTGGATATTCCATGGTGAGAAAAGTAACAAGAATGATGAACGAGGGGATAGTATGGCATATGCTTCAGACGATAATGGCACAGATACATACGAATGTGGTCGAGTCGAAGAGATTGTAAAAGCACTTGGAGAAGATCCTCAGGATTGTCCCAAAATGTTTAAGAGGTTAGTAAGCGATGCATAGAAACCATTGTATAAAGGTTGCACTAAATTCACAATATTATCCGCGTTATTAAATTTGTACAACTTAAAGGCGGGCAATGGATGGTCGGATAAAAGTTTCAGAGTTATTAGCCATTATGACCACTACAAGAAAATTAGTGTTTAACGACACAAAAATTGCGACAGTTATGTGATAACTGTCGTAATTGACATATAGAGACAGTGTTTACGACAGTTGACACCAACCGTCCCTAATATTTATTTTGCGACGGTATATTTAACCATCATAATATTATTATTACGACGGTAAAACAACCGTCGGCCCCCATTTAACACTTTTAACATTGATTTTTCACCAACAACTAGTCACGACGGTAAAATTAACCGTCCTAAAAGGCATATCACGATGGTAAAGCACCCGTCGCACCCTTAAACCTTTCACGACGGTAAAATTATCCGTCCTAAAATTCATTTCACGACGGTAAAACAACCGTCGCACCTAAAACCTTTAAAAATCTCTTACTAACTTATATATTTTATCTAATTATAATTGTTATGTATATTTAAGTTCTCTCTTGTTAAGGTTAAGTTTATGCATTATTATATATTCTATGAATTTGATACGACAATGGTGTTATGTTCAATTTAATCAATCAAATAAATTTAATCTTTCATCTTTTTCTCAATGCTTGTTATATTTGTATTATGCTTGAGGAGGATCTATGAGATGTCGAGACGGTCTGATAGGACTAGACCAAGGGTAACTTATGGTTATGCCTCGAAAGACATGACTTTTATAACATGATATGTGGATTTAATTGATGTTGAAAAATGATTTTAAGTTTATACCTAAATAATCATTTATCATGAGCTAAAGTATATACATAGAGCTTGACATAATATTCACATATATAGTTGAAACACAATGTTATTGTTAAATTTATACCTAATCCTAACTAAACACAAATTGAGTTGCACATTTCCTCTGAAGTTAGAATTTTGATAAACCCATCTCGCAGCCATTACAAATCGTGTATTGAAGTGAAGAATGCTTCCTCAGCGAATGAAGAAAGCCGTTACTGATAACCCTAAAAAGCTCGCAAACTTGATCGATCTCGTTAACCTTCCTCCCACTCTCAGAGACTTCGTCGGTCAATCTCAGACTTCTCGATTAACCTGTTTCATGCGTGTTTGGTCCTACGTCAAAACCAACAATCTTCAGGTTCTGCTTTGTTTTTTCAACTCATGAAAATTGATTCACATCAAAGTAATTGTTGTTATTGTTCTGTTTTCAGGATTGGAGAATTTAAACTTTGAATCAGTGATTAGAATTGGTTGTTTCCTTGCTTGTGCAGGATCCAAATAACAAGAACATGGTAAACTGTGATGAGAAGTTAAAAGGTATTTTACTCGGGAAACCTCGGGTTGAGTTAGCAGAACTTCCAGCACTTATCAAGCTACATTTTCTGAAAGAGCCCAAGTGATGATGTGTGCGATACGAATCAAGATGCATACCCTTCCTCAAGATGAGTCTCTCAATTGTTTTTCGCTTTTCTTTACCCCCATAGATTCAGCATCAACATTAGTATAGAAAGGAACCTAGCAGTTGAAACACCAAATTGGCAGTTTTCTTTGTTGTGTATGAATAATGTATTAGATTAATCTTATCACATGTGATCCAATTTAAAAATCTCCTGTTTTGCTGCATGCTTTTGCAACTATATAAGTTGTTTTAAAGAAATTTTTTTGCCGGGGTTGTGATTTGTTATGCATAAATTTGTGTATATTATTATGATTTATACCGAGTCATTTTGTTTTTTCCTTAGGATTTGGAACTTCTGTAGCGGCTGCAGAACTATTGCATCCAAAGCCTCTGCAGTCGATACAAATGAATTAGATAATCCCCATACCCTCTCACATCTCCGTATGCATACCGTTACTCTTTATCGAGAATCATCTTGAACTTGCAAGTTATGATTTCTCCCAAACTCGTTACCATAAGTAGATTGTATGCATTGCAATCGGTTTAGTTAAAATTGATTGCTTAATGTTGCTCCCAAAAACATGAAATTTCATAGTCGAAGTACCTGGCACTCTTTGTTTACTAGGAATCAAACCTTCCTCATTTGTAAGAAATCTCTTTTGAACTCTTTAAATGATGTAGTTGAAGGTACTCTTGCTAACTTTTGAGTGGAACAAAGGGATACCTATAGACTTTCCTTGCTAACTTTTGAAGATTAACTTTCTGGCCAGCTTGTTCACATCACATAAAAAGTTTTCATGTGAAGCTGCGGTTGCATGGGAAGCTGGGAAGCCACCGGTGATTGAAGAAGTAGAGGTGGCGCCACCGCAGGCCGGTGAAGTTCGTCTCAAGATACTCTTCACCTACCTTTGTCACACTGATGTTTACTTCTGGGAAGCTAAGGTAGATTATAAAGAAAATAGTGTGTTTTGTTTCTGTATGTTGTTATGAATCGCAATAGCTTAACATGGTTTTCTCTTTTTTGCCACTGTTTCAGGGTCAGACTCCATTGTTTCCTCGTATTTTTGGTCATGAAGCTGGAGGGTATATGCTTCTCTTCTAATAAAATGTCTTGATTATTTAGTGTATCAGTAATTTAGTATGTAATGTGAATGAATGATGTTTATCAGGATCATGGAGAGCGTAGGTGAAGGTGTGACTCATCTGAAACCAGGGGATAAAGCCCTGCCTGTATTCACAGGGGAGTGTGGTGAATGTCCACATTGTAAGTCAGAGGAGAGCAACATGTGTGATCTTCTTAGGATCAACACTGACAGAGGTGTCATGCTCAATGATAACAAGTCTAGATTCTCTATCAATGGAGAGCCCATGAACCATTTCGTGGGCACCTCTACATTCAGTGAGTACACAGTGGTTCATGTTGGATGTGTTGCAAAGATCAATCCTGAAGCACCACTTGACAAAGTTTGTATTCTCAGTTGTGGAATATGCACAGGTATATATATACAAGATCCCTAGCTTCAGATATTTATATATTACCAGGCTTGGTCTGTGATTTCCTAATTCAATTTGCATTGATGCTTATAGGTCTTGGTGCTACTGTGAATGTTGCAAAACCAAAGCTAGGTTCTTCAGTTGCTATCTTTGGGCTTGGAGCTGTTGGCCTTGCTGTATGTTATTACTCTTATATCTTTGTCTGCATGTGTGTGTTGCATTGCAGCTGTGATTGGAAATAAAATGAGACAATATTAATTTTTGCTCTTCTTTTTTAACCATAATGTAGGCTGCTGAAGGTGCAAGGATCTCTGGTGCATCAAGAATCATTGGAGTTGATTTAGTTTCCAGCCGATTTGAATTAGGTACAACACTTTCTGTGTTCCATCTAATGATTTAAGATTTTGGTCAACAACATAAATTCAAGGACTAACTTTAGTAATAATCAATCTTGTTCACAGCTAAGAAGTTTGGAGTGAATGAGTTCGTGAACCCGAAAGTAGATTAACTTTTGAAGATTAATTGCATCATGTGATGGCAAGTATTTGTGGCATACGTAAATATTGGATGCTACTATCTAATCGACACTTGGAATTTTATAAAAGTGCACTTCCTCAACCTTTGACTTCGATTCAGCGTCTTTATATTAGTCGGCTAGTTGAGAAATATGGAGCTGATTTTCAGGTTTGATCTGTTGTCATGTTAATTTCAATTGAAGATATATTAACATTGTAAAGTGAAAATGTTGCTGTTAGGAGGCTGTTTAATGTTTTGTTGTTGCAACTTTAGAGAAATTGTGTATGAGCTATTACATTTACAAGAACAATAATCCTCTTATTGTTGGAAGATGAAGTACTTTGCATATGAACAAGTGTAGTGCTGTCGAAGATTACAAACTTCCGGTTGTGAGTTGTGATGGTTGATCCATGAATGGGCAAAATGTTGTTACAATGAAGATTTTGGTTGTTTTGACACTTTGGATGTTGCTCGGGTAATATTGTTATAAAATTTTGTTGATGCTTTTTAATTTTGTATGGATTTTAAGGAAAGTTCGATGATGCTTTGCAGAAGTATAAGTTGGTAGGTTGACTTTTCAGATTGCTTAACTGTCTCCTCCACACCTTTCATTGTTGTTTATCTCTATTTTGAGACTATAGGAAATTATCACTATAAGTCTATATCACCTTGTTTTAATTTTTACATTTTAGGCCAAGGAAAACATCAAAGAGATTCCATCTTTTCAAAGTAGAAAACTTCTTTTGGCATGCTCACTTAACTTGATGGCCTGCTGCTTGAAGACAAGGCAGTATGATGAATGCATAAAAGAAGGTTCTGAGGTATTCATAATTCATTTCATTTACCATTGCAGTGGGATGTTAAGTTGTAAATTTTAATAGTCATGTGCAACATAAATTGATGGGTAATGATTATAACTTAAGAGCTAAATGTTAAACTGTATCACTAGCCTTTTTAAAACAAATGCAACACAAAATAAAATTGTGTCATTTTAATAAAATGTAAATGGTAATAGAATTTTATATGTACTTGTGAAAGAATTTCAGCAAAAAGTAAGGGACAAACACAACATAGGACCTTTTAAATATTTTGGAGTTTGGTATACTACAAAAAGTTGGAAGCTGATTCACGTTCTCAATTTAAAGTTTATTTCTTTTCAAATTTCTTATATTAACTTGGACATACTGTAATGATACTGTTTGTCTTTTCTTTTTTAAATTAGTGTCTAGAAATTTATTTTGACAGTGGGCATGTCAATTACGAATTATATGATTTTGTTCATCTGATATTTCTACACTGATGGATGTTCTCAGTTTGTAATTTTGAAAAGTAATGCTTGTAATTTGCAGGCATATGCTGCTGCCGTACAGTGAATCAAAACTATGCAAATATTCTTTTGATGCTTTTACGTCTCCGTCAGGCTTGTGATCACCCACTTCTTGTTAAAGAATACAATTCTGATCCTGTTGGAAAAGATTCTGTTGAAATGGCAAAAAGGCTTCCAAAAGAGATGCTGATAAATCTGTTTAATAGTTTGGAAACAACTGCCGCTATATGTTTTGTCTGCAATGTAAGTTAATTCTGATTTGATAATTTCATTATTTGTTTCTTTGTTGCAATTATTCCTTCTAAGAGCGTCATCTGATATAGATCATTTTGATCGTATCTTACCCGTCTTTCTCTTCCTATGGTACATGTTTTGTTTATATGTTTAATAAATAACATTAGTAGGAACACTTCTCTATGGTTTGAAATATGATGAAGTTTGTGAATAAATAACATTAGTAGGAACAGTTAATAATTGGGAATATGGCCTCAATACAAAGAACTAGCTTTCTTGTTATTTTCTTTTCTTCTGATACATGATATAGTAGTACATGATAAGCTTGGTAGACTCTGCTGTTAGTAATTGGTTTAATCTATTTAATGACTCAGTTATTTATTTTGCCTTGCCTGTGTTAAATACTTGAGTAGAGGCCAGAGAATAAGCTTGGAGATGATGAAACGTGGGATAGGGCTGAAAGTGCTCTCAAGGAGGCTTTGGATGAGTTTGGCAAGCCATGGCAGGTATATGCTTTTCATGTTTTGAATTCAATTATATGTTTCTTGATACTATTTTTTATATTCTCATACATTCTTTTATTTTTTGTATATCTGTTTTATTATTTTCAATGTAATGCATCATTTGTTAACTTCAATTATGTGCTTATAATCCAAATAAAACTCTGCAGTTGAATGAAGGGGATGGTGCATTCTATGGACCAAAGATAGATATCAGTGTATCTGATGCATTGAGTAGGAAATTCCAGTGTGCAACTCTACAGGTTTACACTCTTTGGCTTAACTTGCATTCACATGGTTCAGTTGTTAATTATTTTTACTGATAATTGGATAAATTGGCTCCTTGCAGCTTGACTTCCAGCTTCCTGATCGTTTTAAGTTGGAATTCTCAGCTGAGGATGAAGCCAAAATTGAGAGGCCTGTTATGATACACAGAGCCATTCTAGGATCAGTTGAACGCATGTTTGCCATACTTTTAGAGCACTACAAGGGTAAATGGCCCTTCTGGCTCAGTCCTCGTCAAGCAATTTTGTGCCCTGTTTCTGAGAAATCACAAGCTTATGCTCTGAAGGTACACATCTCTGTTTCCTAACTTTAGTCTGTCTATATTTATCGAAGTCATATGATAACAGTTAGGATGGGGTGATGATGTGTACAATTGCATCAAATCCTTGAACCAATTTGTTTATTTTGAGTCGCAACAAGCCTTTTTAGATATACTTTTTATGTGGTAGCTTCTTCATGAAGTTTGAGCAATCTTCATTGAATAGTTCTATTACCTAACTTTGTTATTGTTCTAATTCTATTTTATGAGTATTATTTTAAAGATAATTATTTTAATACCTTTTTTTAGGGATTGGAATCACCCGCTGATGGTAGACGTTCATCTGAGTCTAGCTATCGTATTGGAGATAATAGAACTTCAGGGGGGACAAATTAGACTTTGCTATGATCGAGATAATTAGATTGTGAACTTTCTCATGTATTTTTGGCATAATGATACTTATTATTATAAAATTAGAAATTGATATATTTTGGGTTTTTTGTACTACTTGACATGATTATGGAACTCGCATTTTACATGATTATGGAACACACATTTTTTTGGATATTATAATGCTTATTTGATGTTAAATATTTTTTATTGAAATTATTTTTACTATATTACAAAGTGATAGAAAATAAAACAAAAAATAATACTATAAATAAATATATTAAAGAAGAAATAATTTAAAGAAAAAAATAACACAAAAAAAAACTATATTTAAAATTTTTTACATAGATAATAATTTAAATAAAAAATATATATAATAGAAAAATTAAAAAAAAATCAAGACATAAACAAAAGTCATGGCGACAGTACCGAACCGTCGTAATCAACAATTAAAAATAATCAACAAAAGTCATGACGGTATCGAACCGTCGCCATAAACAATTTAATCAATTTCAAAAGATATTCACGACAGTATCGAACCGTCGCCATCAATAATTAAAAGAAACTCAAAAGATAGTCACGACGGTATCAACCCGTCGTAAACTTGAACGACAGTTTTTGTAACCGTCGCGAAATAGGTTGGGGACACACACTTCTGCGACGGTAAAGCAACCGTCGTGGAAAGCAAATTGTGACGGTTTTAACCGTCGTAATCTACAAAAATACCTGTCGCAATCTGCCAATTTTCTTGTAGTGGACAGATATGCTTCCAAATGATAATGTTCTTCCTAATCGAACCTATGAGGCCAAAAGAAGGTTGTGCTCTATTGGCATGAGCTATGATTAGATACATGCTTGTCTAAATTATTTCATTTTGTTTTGAAACGAATATGCATCGTTAAATGAGTGCCTTAAATGTAATTTATCTCGATATAAGAAAAAATTGTCTCTAGCAAAAGTCTTATGGTATTTTCCTATAATTCCGAGATTTAGACGTATGTTTCGTAGTTAAATTGATGCAAGACACTTGACTTAGCATGCAGTTGAAAGAATTATTGATGGAAAGTATCGACATCGGACAGATTCACTAGAGTGGACGAAAATTGATAATGGTTTTCCTGATTTTGGAGAAGAAGCAAGAAACCTTCGCTTGGAATTATCTGCAGATGGAATGAACCCACATGGTATTCAAAGTATCTCACATACCACATGACCTTTGATTCTTATGATTTATAACCTACCTCCATGGCTATGTATGAAGTATAAGTACATGATATTATCTATGTTAATTTATGGGCCTAATCAACCAGGGAACGACATAGATGTATACTTGACACCTTTGATCGAAGATTTAAATATTTTATGGGAGAACGATGTGAAGGTTTATGATGGATATAGGAAACAGAGTTTCAATTTGAAGGCGATGTTATTTGGCACAATTAATTATTTTCCAGCATGCGGAAATCTATCATGGTATATCATTAAAGGTTAAAAAGTGTGTCCTGTTTGTGAAGATGGAACCTATACGACGTGATTGGACCTTTGTCAGAAGAATGTCTTTCTCGATCATCGTAGATTCTTAAATTCTAAACATCACTATAGGAAAATGTTGAACCTTATTCTAGCATTATATGTTTTCCTCTAGAGGAAAATAATTTTGAATTAAAACCATATTTAATGTTCATGGTACTAGATTTTTGGTTCTCTAACGGATGATCCAAACATGCATCTGTCAATTTTAGTTGAATTCGACGAAATGATGAAATGGAATGGAGAGGGCAGCAAATCAGAGCCATTAAAACATTTACCATTTACATTCAGGGATAGAGTTAGAGCATGGCTAGAGTCCTTACCTTTTGTGATTCCATTACGACATGGAATGAGTTGAAAATCACACTTCTTTATAGGTATTTCTCGCCAAGAAAAATTGCTCTACAAAGAAATTAGAATACCATCTCTACTCAACATGGCGAAGAATCACTATACGAAGCATGGAA